ATCAGCATCAAGCCCCCAACTTCCGAGCGGCGCTCCCGAGAGTCACGGGCGAGGAGATTCTGGAGAAGCTGGACGAGCTCTCGGGTCACTACTGGAAGAAAGTCGCGGGGGCGCCGGTCATTCTCGCGAGCGGCGCGAAGTCCCGGGCGGCGGCGCCCAAGACGGAGTTGGAGAGGGCGGTGGGGCGCGAATTTGCGCGTCGGCGCCGATCTGCGACGAGGGGGCGGCGGCGCTAGCGAGGGCATCTCGGAGTGCGAGCGCCCCGGCGCCAAGTGCCCGACCGCGACTGACGCGGACCAGCGCTTTCACGACCCCTTCTGCGGAGGCCGCTGCGCCTCTTTCTGAAAACGCCGCCCTTCAGGGGGGCGCCCCAGCGCAGGCGGGCCTCTCAAGGGCGCTCAATTTAATAGCGGGCAAGCGAGAGGGCATCCCTCCGTTGAGGAAAAGGTCGCGGAGTCACTCATCATAGAGGTTGAGCGCCTCGCCAAGCATGGGCGCATGTCCACGAACGGCGGGCGCTACCAACTGGCCCTCAAATTTCGGGCGGAACGAACACAATTACAGCGGAGCGCTTTGGGACAAGGTCTCCCAGGCGGCAGCCAGTCCCCCCGCTCGAACATTTAGTTGTCTGCATCTTGAATTGTGACGACACGACATCTGACAGCATGACCCTACATGCCCCCATGCACCTCCTCGTGGCAGTTTACAGTTGCGGCGATGCGGCGTGATTGGGGCCTCTGCATTCCTTGCATATATCAACAGGCAACATACATTTAGCGAGGGACCCCGGACATACGTGCAATCGAGGACCGCTTCGCGGTTGCCACTCGGACCACGCCGACAGGTTCCAGGGTATCCAGCCACATGGGGATCCGGATTGTGGCCCGAGACTGAATCGAAGACCGCTTCGCGGCTACAGCTCGGACAACCGACGAGAGGCGCGCCGAGAGCGGGGGGCGATGTCTGCTTCGTATTACAATATGGATTCAGGAGTGTGCCCCGACTCCAGAGTGCTACGAGGTATTTGGAGGCTACTGGCCACGGCGCGGGATTTCAGAGAGGAGGTAAACACCCGTCGCTTACCACCAGTTTTCACGGCATTTCTGGCTCAATTAGAGCTTCGGCGCGAACTTGCAATAGTGCGGGCATATCGGAGTGCAAGACGCGCGTGGGCTGCTCATGGCCTTCGCCAGCAGCGACAAGCTTTGGCCACGCGGCCGCCGCGGCGAGCAGTTCGGGCACTACAGGATGACGGAGGGCCGCGGGACGCGCGCCAAGCGCGAGCTAGGACGTGAACAAGACCAAGGAGGAAGAGGAAGCCAGTGGAAGAGCGTGCGCCTCAACTGCGAATCGGTCCTTCGGCCCGCGGAATGGCCCGAGTGGGGCGACGAGGAGAAGCTTCGCCATGGCGGGGGGAAGTGCGTCGCGCGAGAACAAGTGAGCCGCGATCAGAAACAGCGCGCAAGGTGCCTGGCGTGGACTGTTCAGCCCATGGGGCGGCAAAGGCGATCATCGACGTGTGGGAGCAAGGCAACCAGCCGAGGAGGTCCCGCAATAAGAAACAAGGAGGTACTCGAGCGGCCCAGGGAGGCGTCGAAGGCCCTGGTGGAAGGCATCAAGAAGAGGGGTGGCATCTTCGCGGCCTTCAGCAGGGCAGTGGGGAATTGGCGGGTCGCCTTGAAGTGCGCGGAGGAGCGCGACGCCATGCTGCGCGAGTACATGCTCATGGACAAGGAGGACGGGGAAGCACTGAAGACAGCCAAGCAAGCGCTCGAAGAGAGGGGGGAAGAGTTGATGGAACACGGCAGCTACAAGACGTGCACCATGGGTGCGCAGAAGACCCAGTTCTTGAAAGCGCTGGACTTCGTGGACAAGTGGAGCGACGACACGCCGTTGAGCCGCGCAGGCTGGGACTGGGACGAGAGCTGCGCCTGCTCGCGCGGATTAGCCTTTCCCAACAAGCTGTGGTGGAGGGGCCCTGGCGTTCAGTCGCGGTCAAATCAGTGGAAGTGACGTTGCAAAGTCGATTGGGAGGTGCTGGCGATTGCCCGGGAGAGCTTCCCCAATGACCAGCTCATGAAATAATGGGCGGGCAAGATGCAGCGCGACTTCACCGAGGGCCGCGCGAAGTGGCCCGAGATCGGCTGCAAGTCGAGTCCCACCCGCGCCGCAACGGCCCGTCGATGGCGGTGGAACTCCTCGTCAACGGCAAGTGCGAGGCGTTTGCAGCCGAGAGGCCGCTGCGCAAGATCGACGACGCCATTAAAGAGCACCACCGCCAGTTCTTCAACGCTGCCCCGCAGCTGGGCCCAGATGCCCTGCAGGCGACGACCCCGCCCGTCTTCCCGATGACGCGCCACGCAAAGAGCTGCGAGCTGATTGCAAGGTGCCCGGTGGGCGCGCGGCAAGCAGCAGGGGGAAGTACTTCTCGTCGCGCAGCCAGTGCGAGCCAGCGATGCGGATCGCGAAAAATGACCCGGAGAACCCGCAGAGCGTCGTGGAGGCACCCGAGAGGGAGCTGCATATTATCGAGAAGCTCGAGAGAACGGAGGTCGAGGGGCTCAGGCGTCGTCGGGAACTGCACGATGGCACGGGCACCCTGCTCCACGGCGCCAAGATTCTCGAGAGGTGCGCCGCTTCAGGGGGAGCGGTTAGCTCCAGCGGACGCTCGCGAGCGCGCCCGCTCGCGCCTGCGGCCGCACTGGCGAGGGCATCTCGAAGTGCAGGCCAGCGGAGCCTGCGCCGACATAAGCGTCTATTTTGCGCACCGACAGGCGGCGCACGAAGACAGCAGACTGTGCAAATTCACATGGGCACAACGCCACAGGGACGAGTTGAAAACGAGGGCCCCGCACAGACTGCTAAAGCTCTCCCTGAGAACCCCGCGACACCTGGCCCCTCCGACGTTCTCCCCGCGTAGCCTTGGTAAAGCAGGTGTTGGCACGGCGTGGGATGACAGTGGGGCATGACCATCATCGCAGATATGGAGGCCTCTCGCACGCCGTGACCATGGTGGCACCGCTCGCCCCTACCTACGCGCCGACTGGAGGGGGTATCTCAGAGGCATACTTCGATTACTACAGAGAATTTGGATGCAGCGTATTGCAGCGCAGGCAATGTGTCGAACACGACATTGCATGGTTTGGCCATCGACCAGGACGTCCAGGAAGCTTCTCCTCGCCTCTGGTGTCGTTGCGGGGTGGTCGCGTCGTCTTCCTCCCCCCGCTTGGGAGCCGTGCTCGCCCAGCGCGTTCCCCAAGGAGTGGGCGCGCGAGAGGGCCAGCAGCTGCCCCCCCCCCGCACTGAACCGCAGGAACCCAAGGAGGCGAGCCTCTCTTACGGGCCTCCTCGGAGCTCGCTCCTTAGAGCATCGGGGTACGCCCCCTGCTGGCCTCGTGAGAAGTCCTGGGTCTGCGGCAAATTTCACTCGCAGGGGATGTTGCAAGTCGTGCCCTGCGGCTCCTGCGGGCGTTTCGACGTTGACCCCCTCATGCGGATGTCCTGTCCAGTCCTCCATCCTCCTTCTCCTCCTCATCCTCCTCCCCCTCCTCCATCCTCCTCCTCCTTTTCCTCCTCCTCCTCCTCCTCCATCATCCTCCTTCTCCATCATCCATGGTATTCCCTCCAACCGCGGGGCCGCAGGAAGGCTGAGTGGCAACGCCCGGCGGATGGAGGAGGACGATGGAGGATGGAAGAGGAGAAGGAGGATGGAGGAGGGGGAGGAGGAGGAGGAGGGAGGAGGAGGAGGAGGACGAGGAGAAGGGAGGTTAAGAAAGGAAAATTGACAATGGGATAGGAGGTGTAGGGTGAGGACGATGGAGGATGGAGGAGGAGGATGGAGGGAGTAGGACGAGGAGGTGGAGGAGGAGGAGGACCAGTGTCAACCCAAGGCCCATCAACGATGTTGGAACAAACCCTTTTTCCTAGCTCTTTTTTGATAGGTCCCTACAAAGGTTCACTTCCGTTGAGGTATTTGCCTCGTTGGGAGACAGCCGTTTGAAGACCCTGAAGCGTGCCAGAGGGAGGAGGGAGGATGAGGACGATGGAGGATGGAGGGGTGAGGAGGGAGGACAGAGGAGGAAAAGGAGGACCTTGAGATCCAGGTGCTGCACATTTATCTTTTCACACCAGGCGGTGTCGTTCGGCTTTGGGCCCCAGGGCCATCACGACGTATCGGCCCGGCTCGAACCATGCGGCGGAAAGATGGTCTGCAGGGCTCCGGTCGTGCTTTTCCGCGATGTTGCATTTGTTTCGCAGCGTCGGGTCTCAGAGTGACCCTCCCATGGCAATTTGCGCTCGAACGCGCTTCCGAAGCGAGGCCACAGCGGTGCAGGCGAATACCGCCCGAGCTTATACCCTCTCTGTCACCAGTTCGTGCAGCCGAGCGCACTGGAAGAACACATCATCAGGGTCGGCCCCTCCTCGCTCCAGGCGGCACCACGCAGAACGCGGGTCCTGTGAGCCGCGGGTCATGAGGTTCTTCGCCGTTTCCGGCCGACCGGCGGCAGGCGGCACCAAGAAGACAGCGGGTCAGGCGCCCATCGGTCTTCAAATGTCTTCGGCCGCCCCTTCGGTGACCTTGCTGGTCGGGGCCGCCAAGAGCGGCCCGGGAGGGAAGGCCAGTGCCGAGGGAATCCTTATGCTCCAAAGTTCGGGCCGCTCAGTGCTCCTTCCACTCATGCCAGCCAGCTACCCTTTCCCTCGATTGCACTGGATGCGCTCACATTGTCAGGTATCGTCCGACCTGATGTGATTCAACGCCCAGCGATCCGCAGCAATTTCGGCTCGAGGTGCCTTTTCCGAGGCGGGAATTTACCAATAACCACCGCCTGAGGGATCGATCTTCGGACACCTCGGCAGGCCGTGGATATGGATATATTAGGGGCATCGGTTCCACAGGCGGTGTATTTGGATAGATTCCCGCCTCGCAGCCTTGGCCTGGGCTGGTCGTCTTGCAGGCTCGCGGACTGCGCAGGAGACGCTCCCACGTCTCGAGAGGTATGCCGCCGAAGATGAAGAAGGCGATGGCCGCGCCAGTGATGGGCAAGGGAGCCCTCGCGGCAGCGATCGCCGAGGCTCGGATGAGGAGAAGGTACCCATGCCGCTACACTTCGCCCGTTTTCCTTTCTTTCGCCCTCCTGGAAGGCCCTCGTCGCCACCGTTGGATTCGCTTCGAAATTCTGGTCAGAACACCCCAGGAGGGGTCCAGGGAGTAGCGGTATCGGTGGACTTTGATTTCTCCAGAGGCCGCCGAGACCGACAAGAAGACGGCGGCCAAGATCCTGGAGACGCTGGCGCAGATCGCGACGAGTGAGGTGAAGAAGAACGCAAAATTCACCGTCCCTGGGCTATGCATGATCAAGACTCGCAAGAAGCCCGCGACCAAGGCCGGGAAAAGGGAGATGTTCGGCAAGATTTGCGTCGTGAAGGCGAAGCCGGCCAAGACTGTCGTCAAGGCGTTCGCAACGAAGGCGTTGAAGGACGAGTTCTGAGAGCCTTCTCAAGACCTCCCGCTTCGTGCCGCGAACGGTCTTCCGTCCTCTCTCTTTGGAGCTGGCTGGGGGGCTGAGGTGGGGCATCACTGACCAGAAGGGGAAAGTGGCCTCCTCGTCGCCACGGCTGCACGCGGCTCGAAGAACTAGACAGTTTCGACCCCAGGAGGTGTTGGGAGCAGTTTTTTGATGGAATTTACCCTTGTCTCCTTCTTGGCCAACTTTCTGTGGGTTCAGTCGATTCAGACACCATGGCCGCCTCCACCCTCCTCTCTTTCTCATCCGCCCTTCTCTCCTGCCTTCTCCTTGTCGTCCGCCTTGTTTTCTGTGGTGCCTCACCTTGCGCGGCAGTCTGGGGTCGCGGCGCAGTCTGGAGTCAGACCTCGCGGGGGGAGGTCAGCACAGGTTGCCATTCGTTTCGCACGCAGTCTTATCCCAGGAGCGACAGCAAAACACGGGCGGTCCAGCGAGCGTGCTGCTTCTCTTCGCGCCTCCATGGGTGTCTTGCAAAGTTAAGCCCTCCAAGAGACTGGGCGTGGAGGACAGTGAGGCGCCGGCACTCAACGATTATTTCGACGATGGATCGGCACGTGTAGGTCGAGAAGATGGCGCAGAGGCTTGACAGGAAAGTTGGGTCTCACCAGAGGCATGTTCCAGAGGGCAGTGACCTCACGAGAAGTCGAGATAGGTTCAAGCATCACCAATTTGTTAGGATCGTTCACGTACGCATTATTCTCTCCATCTCTTGCGTGTGCTCTGCTGGAGGGACATAGGCGGTAAGCAGCAGCCGAGCTGAGGCAAACGCATGTCCAATTTTAGGACCCTCCAGCTTCAAGTCATGCGTGCGAAGGGGGCGCTTAAACGGCTCGGGCCGTCAAGTGCTGATTGGGGCTCTTTGGGCGATCAGTTATCGCGTCAGACTGTCGGGGTACGCTTCGACGCCAAACAAAACATTCAGCCTGAGTGTGATTGGTTGGCCAACGTATTCGCACTCGGCCCCCAAGTTAACGTGCCCTCGCAAACCAAGGCATTGCGGTATAGCATGTGGGTATGCGCAGAGCGACAGTGCGATGCAGTATTTGTGTTCCGAGCTAGTTGGCCACCTACGAGCCACCTACGAGCGTCCCATACTCGGTCCGAGAGGAGCTAAAACAAATCTTGAGAGTTCTTGCGAGCGCACACCTGAAAATACGCAGCGCAGAAATTCGATGAAGTACCTATGCTGCGGGCTAGGTGGCCACCTACAAACGCCCCGCAGGCGGTTAGAAAGGATATAGATCTTGAGAGTTCATGCGATCGTGCTGCCTCCTTGGTTGGTCGAGCCAGTAGAACAGGAGCCACGAACGGCCACGCTTCGAGGAACTGGCCCGCAAGCGTGGCATGTAGCGGTTCATCTCGGGGCCGTATTGGTGTTTTCAGTGTCCAAGTCTGAGGCTTTCGGGTGCGAGCAAGTCAAGGTATGAACGGCTACATATGAAGGAGTTTGGGCTGCGTATGCATGAATCTGAGTATGGGTGATCAGGAATGAACGCATCTGAATATGAGCGGATCGTCTTAGTAGAAGTGCGTCTGCGTGCCAGTGAGTTTTGAATGTGAGCGAGCCTGAATCTGAGCGAGTCTTAGTATGAGCTTGCGGGAGCGAGCGAATCTGACCGTGAGCGGATATGAGTATGAGTGCGTCTGGGTATGGCCGAGTGTGCGTTGGTCTGGACATCATTGTCCTGGGCGAAAATGAATACGAGCCTGAGTGCGCCAGAATACGAGCGACTGATCTCGAGAGCGTCAGCGGTTGAGGAATCTGGGCCTCCGTGCTCGAGTGCGCGTGAGTCTGAGCACTTGTGGATCTCAGCATGCTGGGATCCGAGTATCAGTGAGTCCGTACATGAGTGAGGGTCTCCTGGGGCTTCGCGGGGCCTCCCGGGTCCTCCTGTGGCCTTGGCTCCCTGAGGCCTCCTTGATGGTTTCGTAGAGCCTCTCCTGGGGCTTCGTCGAGCCGCCCGAGGCTTCGTGGCGCTCTCTGGGGCCTCCTGCTACGTCTGGGGCCTCCTACCACCTCGAGCCTCGTACCTCCTGGTGCCTCCCAGTCTCCCAGGGGGGCGCTTTCGCATCCTTCTCCTTTCCCTCCTGCTCCTGCCCCTTCCCTCCACCTCGCACTCCTTTCGCCTGTTGGAAGGATTCAGTCGGGCTTGTCCCTCTACAGGAAGAATATTCACAAATAGTCAAAAAGTAGTCGGGACAATTTTTTAAATATTTTTGACAATTTTGGAGCATTGTTCTATTATTTTTGTTCGTCCAAAATCCCCCTGTAGGGGGACACGCCCGACCTAATGGTAGGAAGATGCGACCGCTGCGCCGGGCATCGCGGGGTTAGCGAGCGCTGGGCGCCGCCCTGGACGGGGGGGGGGCAAGGCGAGGCAGCGCAGTAGGGCCTCGCGGATCGAAGACGCGTCCGACTTCGGCCAGAGATGGCCGCCAGCATAGCCTTAAGTCGGGCCTGTCCCTCTACGGAGGGAATATCCGAAAATAGTCAAACAATTAGTCTGGGGACGATTGTTTTACCATTTCGGAGCGTTTTTGGCCTATGTGTTGGGCATTTTGTTCGTCCAAAATCGGCCTGTAGGGGAACAGGCCCGACTTCAGCATAGCCTCCGAGAGGTCCCATATATTTTTTTGTGTTTGAAGAATACGCAGAAAAAAAACGGCATGACCGGTTTCAGCTTGTATGATGTAAGTTTCTTCTGCGACGTGACCGCGGAGTTTTCCAACGATACCGCCGAGGGGCCAACATGACAGACGCGCGTGTCGTTGTGGTGTTGCTTCCGCGTTTTCGCTTTTGATTTATGTGGGTCTCTGAGGCCAGAGCTACGACGTAGTGCTTTTCCTAACCATCCTGTGGTGTTGGGTCCTCGTTTTGAAGAGACAGCGCCCCGCGTCACCTCCTCCTCACTTCTCCTCTCTTTCCTCCTCCTCCTCCTCTTCCGCGACGTACTGGTGATGTGCCAGGAATGGTGTCGGGGGGAACCTGAGTTGTTTTGGCACAGCCGCATGCGGGGACCGCCACCAATTTTGGCACACCCCTCACATGGTTCGTGGCCCCACAGGGAGCTCCACCGAAGGCCCCAGTGGCACAGCCGCATGCGGGGACCGCCACCCATTTCGGCACATCCATCACACGGCCCGTGGCCCCACAGGGAGCTCCACCGAAGGCCCCAATGGTACAGGCCGCATGCGGGGACCGCCACCCATTTTGGCGCACCCCTCAAACGGTTCGTGGCCCCACAGGGAGCTCCACCGATGGCCCCAGTGGCACAGGCCGCATGCGGGGACCGCCACCCATTTTGGCATATGTTTCAAACGGTTCGTGGCCCCACAGGGAGGTCCACCGAAGGCCCCCATGGCACAGGCCGCATGCGGGGACCGCCACCCATTTCGGCACACCCGTCACACGGCTCGTGGCCCCACAGGGAGCTCCACTGAAGGCCCCAGTGGCACAGGCCGCATGCGGGGACCGCCACCCATTTCGGCACACCCATCACACGGCTCGTGGCCCCACAGGGAGCTCCACCGAAGGCCCCAGTGGCACAGGCCGCATGCGGGGACCGCCACCCATTTTGGCACACCCTTCACACGGTTCGTGGCCCCACAGGGAGCTCCACCGAATGCCCCGGTGGCACAGGCCGCATGCGGGGACCGCCACCCATTTTGGCACACCCTTCACACGGTTCGTGGCCCCACATGGAGCTCCACCGAAGGCCCCAGTGGCACAGGCCGCATGCGGGGACCGCCACCCATTTTGGCGCACCCGTCACGCGGTTCGTGGCCCCACAAGGAGCTCCATCGAAGGCCTCGAAAGTAGTTCCCCTTTCTTCGTCCCAGCTGACCTGCGGTACTCCCACTTGCATATGTTGTGTCTTTCGCCAGGCTAATTTTCATGACGTTGGTCTCCAGGGGTCTGGGCCCCTTCCATGGGGTCCGCCCTTCATCCTGAGCATTTTTTATGGCCCCGAAGCCCGTTAGGGCCCCTGGAGTCTGAACATAGCCAAAAACCTCCCGTCGTGATTCTGTTATAACCCGAGGGAGGCCAAGCAGGGCCCCGTGGGCGTCCCTGAGCTCCTCATTGCGAGGCGGCCCAACAGGGCCCCACGAGGCATCAAAAAGGGTGAAGCTCTTGGCCTGGCTCTCAGCGGAGATTTGCACACACGCGACATGGTTCGATCTAAAAAACAAAACAAAGCCGTAGACCCATAATTTTCGGACTTGAGTCGACATTGGGCCCCCGCCCGCCAGGGGCGGGGTCCAGCGACGATCCGGGAAATCCACGAAGAGTTCCGATGGTTGTATGAATGTAGGCATGCATACATGCATGCATTCATGCATTTATGTATGTATGTACGTATGTCTATCTGTGTGTATGTGTGTATATTTGTAGGTGTGCATTTTTTGTTATATATTTACATGTATATGAATATACATGTATGTATACATGTGTATATATGTATATATGTAAATATGTGTGTATGTGTGTATGTGTTTATGTGTGTATGTGTGTATGTGTGTGTATGCATGTATGTATGCATGTATGTATGCATGTATGCATGTATGTATGTATGTATGTATGTATGTATGACCTGTATGTATATATGCATGTGTGTCTGTATGATAGTATGCTGGTGTGTCTGTATGTCTAAATTAATGCATGTATGTAAGTATGTGTTTATGCATGTATGTATGTATGTATGTATGTATGTATGTACGTATGTATGTATGTATGTATGTATGTATGGTTGTATGCATGTATGTATGTGTGTTTGTCTGTTTGTATGTATGTATGTATGTATGCATGTATGTATGTATGTATGTATGTGTGTGTTTGTATGTATGTATGCATGCATGCATGCATGCATGTATGTATGTATGTATGTATGTATGTATGTATGTATGTATGTATGTATGTATGTATGTATGTATGTATGTGTGTGTATGTATGCATGTATGTCTGT